AAAAGAGGCACAGTAAAATATAGTTAACTTAAAAATGTTTTTGTTATCAAGTTAAAAATTAATAAGAAATGTTTTTTTCACATTTAGGATATCGTGTTAAAAGGGGAGAATTATGTGGAAAAAAAATGTAATAGTATTTTCATCAAAACCTGATTTTGAACAATAAAATGCTCTGTAGCTTTTTTCATTAAAAACACATGTATAAAAGGTCAATATAAAGCAAGGGAAAAAGTTGTTTGGAATTTTTTGTTTGTGCAAACATTTTCTTTTATACACATTGAAATTATTATTCAGTTTTTAGTAGTTTTTTTGTATAATTACTTTCGAATGATTTATTAGTGAAAGTACACAATAAATGTGTTCCACACTAAAAAATAAGTGATCAAAGTGCACCTTAACAAATAATTTGATCCAATCCAGTGCACCTTCAACAAATAATTTGATCCAATCCAGTGCACCTTCAACAAATAACATGATCTAAGCTAGTGCACCTTAACAAATAACATGATCCAAGTTAGTGTGCCTTAACAAATAATTTGATCCAATCCAGTGCGCCTTCTTAGGTGCACTAGCTTGGATCACTTTATTTGTTTAGGTGCACTAGCTTGGATCACTTTATTTGTTAAGGTGCACTAGCTTGGATCACATTATTTGTGAATGAATGTAATTCTGTGGTTCATAATGTTGAGGTGCTTGTTGTTATATTTTGAACATTAACAGACAGGTGCTGGAGCACGAACCAACAAGCCGGTATTATATCAACCAGACTATACAACAGAGCTGAACAATGAACAAAAGTTTCTTTCTGTTGCACTAAACAACAGAGTTGGCCACAAAGATGTCAGTAATGGAGACAATCAGAACAACAATGTAATTAACAACGTGAGAGCTTTGGATGTGTAAGTAGAATTTTCAAACCTTGTTTCATACAGTTGTATTAATATGAATAAAATGCCCTTTTTTTTAAAAAAAGAAACTTATGTATGTTAGCTTAGATTAAGTTCAGGGCTACTCCTAAAAAGTATTTTATAAAATTAATTTAACCCAAAGGTGTGAATAAACAAAACAGACCAGCCAAGCTCTATAAATAAGAAAAAAATGCGTAGTTAGTCATACTTACAGAAACGCCGCCTATGGGCAGCTGTTTGTACTAGTAATTACTAATTGTTGCATTCATACCTCATTAAAAAAAAATTAGAAAGAAAGTAAACAGTTTTTAAAAAAGGATTTTTCTGGGAAGTACTGCACGGGAAAAATGTTCAGGTTGTGCTGATATAAACTGTAATGTTTTTATAGTTTAAAAGTGGTACCCTTTACTGGATAAATTAAATGATTTTTAAGAACTCCATTTTTTTAGCACTGTATTTACAAATTATATCAATAAAGATATAATCAAACCATCATGTACAGTCCTAGTGAAAGTCGTGTTCTTGTTGTGAGGAGAGTACTTTTATTTAAAATTGTGTTCTGTTTTACATAAATCGTTGTTGCACATACCATAATTATTTTTATAATTGTCTGAATCTTGAATACCCAAAGTGTGAAATTTTTTATGATTTTTGTTTGTGGTGTCATTCAACAGATGGCGCTACATTTAATTTATTATTTCGGTCACATACATTGATACATATATACATGCTACATCCATTATTGTAAGATTCACTTGAGTTACACAGTTAACAAACATAAAATCCTGTTGAGCAAATGAAAAATGCTACAACTTTTTATTTTTATTGCTATGTATCTCGAACAAGAAAAAATTCATAAAATAGAACAAATATAGTCTTTTGTAGATTTTAAAAGTAATTCTCATAAAACATCTTGGATGTCTTTATTGTTTTCACTTTGTGTGTGAAGTTATAGCTTCTTGAGCAAAAGGCTAGTAAGAACCGGTTTCTGTGTAAATGAGGTCAGAGGATATATTTTCTGTACAACTTAAAAACTACTTCAGAACATTCTTCACCCTGTACTTTAGAAATCAAAATTATTCTTTGATTTATTATCAAATTGCTGTTGTCATATTGAAGCCTGACCAACCAAGAGATTATGGTAAAGAAAAAAAAATACCAACCCAATTACCCGAGAAAGGAACAATTCGCATATAGAGATGTTGAATATATAACCTTTTTCAGGTCACTCCACCTTGGTGATTTGCATCAGGTCTGTAGTTCTATATAATGCTGATATTCAGGGGTTACCAAATACCCCTGACATTTAGGAATTGGCAGTAAATCCCTTGGTCCAGGATGTATATTAATTTAACCTTGTCGAGGGCAAGGATGGCCATATCTGCCTTGACCTAAGAAAATTTGTGATGAATTTTTTATTTCTATAGTTTCGTTTTGAGGTAACTTACTGATTTAGATATAATTTTATTATAAGTTACAGCTTTTACACTGAGGAAAAAATATTTTTTTTATAAAAGGTAAGACATTTTGACCACTGGTGAAATCGTTCTCAAGTACACAAGTTATGCATTAGGCTGGTAAGAGTAAGAGACAATATCTGTTGTGGAAACAAGATCATAGGTTGTTAGGTTTTTTCTAAACAACCTTATACCTGGGATATGGCAAGTCCTACTTGTATTAATGTTGTTACTGCATGGGGAGAACTCTTGTGGCTGATTGTAGAAACTCTGACCTGAGTAGTTGTCTGTTTTTGGATTAATAACATCCAAAGATCAGTGATTTCTAAGTTTATTAAGGGCTGGCTTTTTTGTTTCTGATGTTGACTAATTTTTTTAATCTTTCTTCTCCTTCAGTTACTTTCCGAGTCAGTTTTGCAACTGCCTGCAGTCAGTGTGGTATCTTGTATTCATGCTGTGTTTGGTTGTTGCCGATACAGTAGGTTTTGAAGTGGGAATTTTTTCTATAAGGTGTTGTACAAGAAGCCTGTTATTTTATTCTTATGCAAGAGGTTCCACTTGAACCTGAACTCTTGTACAGTCAATAAGTTATGAAAGAATTTTGATTTTGGAACATTTTTTTAAATCTTCTGGGGATTGATTGTGGTTAGTTCGGGGACAAATCGAACAGTGATTCTAACATGTGGTTGTGTTCTGTGGTCATCTAATCAGGTAATTTGGCTGTCATTGTTGTTTTTTAGTCATATGAATTAAAATAGGAAGATGATTTTTTGTAAGGCTTCTGAACTTTTACGATGTTAGAAAACTACTCATTTTTATGGCAATGAATCCAATGTCCTGTTGACCTTCTAATCAAGTTTCTTCTCAGTCAAAAGGCAAAACCCCCAGTAAGGAACAGTTTACTTAATGGATCCACATTTACAAATTATAAGATGTTTTTTAATTGGCCCATTACAAACTTCATCTGATATTTTAAATAATATTTTACTGGTTGATAGAGGAATAAAAACAAGGTAGACATGTAAGGATAACTTTAGGTGTATTATGACAAGAAACTTTTTGTCATCATGATGGACAGAGTAACAAATTTATACTGCTTGTCAGGAACAGTGGAAAATATTACACTATACTTCCATAAATATTCAAACTTATTACAGAACACTGTATTTGAAAAATATGAACGTAATAACAGGATATTTAGTGGAAATATTTTAATGCATTTAGTACTCAATTTTTTTGTGCGCAATTCATTCATTTGATAAAGATGTTCATAGTGTTCTTAATTTAATCAGAGTTTTTCTTTACTGAGACATAAGAAATAATCCAGTCATGGCTCATTACATGCAGCACCAATCAGAACAAGGTGATTGAATTGAAAAAGAGACGACTACCGTGGCTAGAAGAAGAGAAGACAGAGAATGGAACAATAGTATGCGATGTTGTGTCCAGTGGTACCTTACCTATGGCCTCATATGTTGCTATGAATGACAGTGAGAGCTCTAGTGATTCAGAGGTTGAACAAGATGAACCAAAAACAAAGACAGAGGTAATTTGTTTTTTCATTTGAAAAATTATAAAGTTGAGACTTTTTTTTTTCTTTTCTTTCTTGCTCAGAACATTTTAAACCTGGTAATAAATACTAGGCACTATGGACTATGATGTGGTTTCTGAAATAACCAAGATACTGAATAATTTGAGAAAGATAACATTTTGCACAGAAAAGAGACCTTTAATAACTGGGCTCTTTTCTCTTTCTGCATCTCTCTCTATATCTGTCTGTCTGTTGCAAATATTGTTCAAATGGAATATCTGATAATGTCAGAGTCAAAAGTGAATAATATTTTGTATTAATTGTGACCCATTGAATATATTATTTTGAAAAGTTTCAGTTTCTAGTATTGATTTGATAAGTTTCCTTGTTTG